CCTGGCTTACCCACCCACCCTTCTTATGTTTGACCTCAACAACCTGGGTCTGTCAGACATTGGACATTTATTTGGTCTTCAATACAGACAGCGAACGTCCAAAACCCAAGTCCACAGACATATGCTGGCTTCAAACTGCCACTTTACTTGAGAGAGGATACCCATTGGGGGTTCCCAAGAGTCACATAGAAAACTTCTTTAGCCTTCTGCGAGGTGTTCAGAAGGAGCTCATTTCCACTTTCCAGAAATGTGCTTTTTATAAAAATGCAGGGCGCCTGTCTTGCATGTATATTTATTTAAAAGGCAAAACCACCACTACTCCACCTCCCGTTTTATGCACACCCGTTCCTCATGGCCACATACACTCCTGAAGACTGCAGTTATGTTTTATTAATTCCCACATCTGCAGTGCTTCACACAGTGTCTGGCACATGTCAGAGGTTTTTTTACATGTGATCGAATGACTATTATTGAAATAATTTTTGGAATGTTCTCAGTTTGGCCTTAACATTTTATTTGGGCGGGGATAGGGTAAGTTGAGAGTATTAAGTGAGTGGAAATTAATTTCACTTCTATTGAAATAGTAGTTATCAGTAGTGCTTTGGGTGTGAAGAGATTTTACATTTACTTTATTAAAAGTTTCAAACGTATATAAGAGTAGAGAATAATAGAATAAACTGTGTATCCATCATCAAGTTTCTATGATTATCAAATCATATTTCATTTATTTACTCACCTACTCCCAGCCCACGTTCCAGATGATTTTGGAAGCAAATTCCAGACATCATATCTTTATGAGTATCTTAGAATGAATTTCTAAAAGATAAGGATGCTTTAAAAAAATGACTTGATTTAAACATTGTCTCTCTATGGTACATTTTTGTGCTGCCATGTAACTTTTGAGGAACATTTTCTTACTTTGCCTTCTTCATCTTCTTGAATACATGTTGAGAATCATTTATAAAGCCATGTTACCACGATTGCTTTTTCCGCAACGTTAATAATTCAAGGATGACTTTCTAGATAGAAAAAAAATCAGTTGACTCATTTCTAGATAGGAAAAAAAAAAAAAGGAGAAGTCCTGGAAATTTCAATCCTTAACTATTTTAGAATTGTTTTCTTTGGGCAAGTCACTGAGTGTGTTTTCAAGGTTGGACACATGCCTGTCTGTGCTGCCCCTGAGGGACTGTAACTCAGGGTGTATGTAAATAAGACAGAAATCCAAATGTCTTGCCTTCACACTGACTCGCTTGCAAATGAACTGTTAACAACTGTCCCAGTGTCCCTGTGTGGTTAAAAAAAACAACTT